GGGGGGGGTAGTGTCCGTTCATCAGCTTATGGAGGGCAGTCAGAGTGTGAAATTTCCGGCGAAAGGTAAGAGATGGGAGACGTAACTGAGAGTAGACGGAACGGTAGGACGGATACGGAATGCCATGGTGGCCACTGATCATTCTGGCTGAGCGATACTGGACAGCTTCGAGTAGTCTCTGGTCACGCAGTGTGAGACCTGCCCATAGAATGTCCGCATATTCCAGAACAGGTCTTACCATGATCTTGTAGAGCTGTAGCAGGATGTTCTGGGGTAACTTTTTGCGTAGCGCACAGAGCATCCCGGCAGTTCTTCTTGCCTTGTTTGTTGTAGCGTTGACATGCAAAGACCAAGTTAGTCTGTTGGTTAGGATCACACCCAGGTGTTTGTGGCTGGGAACCACCTGTAAAGTAGTACCGGCTAGAATGACCGGGGGAATCACAGGTGGGAGCGGACGGTTAGTAAATAAAAAAATAAACATTACTTTGCATTTTTTTACAATTGGCCTCTAGTTTCCAGTACTGTAACCAGTCTGATACAGTGGCCAGGTCGTTGTTCAGTGAGTCTACGACGTTTGTGATGGAGCGGTGAGCTGCTGTGAGCGAGGTATCATCTGCGAACAGGCTCGCCTCACATGTTGCACAGTTGGAAGGCAGGTCATTTATGTATAAAATGAATAGTGTAGGTCCAAGTAAGGAGCCCTGTGGGACGCCAGCGAGGGGGGTCTTCCAGTCAGATGTTGCACCTTGGACAACCACCCTCAGACGTCTATCTGTAAGGTAGCTGTAAACCCAGTCCAGCATAGGCCCACGGATTCCGTATCCTTCTAGTTTGGCGAAGAGGCCGCCATGCCAGACTTTGTCGAAAGCCTTACGCAGGTCCAGGAAGACGCAACCTACCACTTCTCCTTTGTCAATGGCTTTCGTCCACTCGTCAACAAGTCGGACCAACTGGAGGTCGTGTTATCATGCGCTCGGAATCCACTTCGGTGCGTGGTAAGCATGGGCCGGATGTGCTCCATCAGGCGTTTATTCACAAGATTTTCCAGAACTTTTGGGATGATGTTCAACAGGAATATTGGCCTGTAATTGTTAGGAGCGTGACGGCTACCTCCTTTGTGGACTGGTGTTACGTTGGCTTCCTTCCATCTGGAAGGGACTTGCCCGAGCGAGAGTGACATGTTGAACAAGTTGGTTAGTGGCACAGAGATGGAATCTGCCACTCGCCGTAGAAGGTTAGGTGTAATGTCGTCAGGTCCACAAGACTTTCCAACCATTAGGCTGAGAAGTTGTTGACGAACTCCGTCCTCTGTTACTTGTAGCGACTCCAAGAGTGTCACAGGAGAGACGGGTAGAACAAAGGTGGCAGGGGAGTCATCTCTGCCAGGTAGGTCAGTCTGCTGTGAAAAGAAGAGTCGTTAAGCGCTGTAGCCTTTTCTTTTGGTGTGTCAATGATGTTTGTCCCCAGTCTGAGTACTCCCGGGATCCCGTCGAGGCTTGCCCTATTACCGTCTTGGTGTACTTGAAGAACCGTCTTGTGTTTCCACCTTCGACGTCCTCCAAGACCTCCTTGATGTAAGTATCTTCATCTCTTCTTGTTAAGGCAGTGACCAAGTTTCTCTGGCTTCTGTAGAGTGACCTTGCTTCTGGAGTGTCCTTCTTTTTTGCTTTGGAGTGTAGGCGATTTTTTTTGCGTATCGCACTTTTAATGTCCTTATTGCCGGCGATCCAAGGTTTTCCAGATTTCTGAGAAACAAATTTATGAGGAATGTGTTGTTTGCATATTGTAATGAACATAGAATCCCGGGAATCCCAGACATCATCCATTGAATCATAGACAAGGTTGACATTCCAGGGGGCATTGTTAAGATTTTCACAGAGTGATTCAAAATTTGCTTTGTTATACAACCAGACTAGCCTTCTTCCACAGGGCCGAGTAGCCTTGAGGTTCAGTGTTACAAAAGTAGTTAGATGATCCGAGTCCCCGAGGGGTGCCATGGTACCAGTTCGGTTGCACAACACTCGTTGGGAAGTGATGATCAGATCCAGTAAGTTTCCACCCCTGGTGGGCTCGTGAATCACTTGTTCTAGTCCATAGCCCAGAAGAATGTTTTCCAGCTGACGCCCGGCGTTGTCTGTGATATTACTAATTAGCCAGTTACAGTTCTTAGAGTTAAGGTCACCCAAAATAAGCTTTACAGACTGTGAATGATTTGTGGCTCTAAGGAGTTGTGAATCAAAAATGTCAAAGAAGGTGTCATCTGCTGAGGGTGGTCTATATGTGCAGTTAATCAGGAGACTAACATTGAATTTTGTTATTTCGCACCATACAGATTCAATGTCGTCGTTTTCGAGAACGCGCCGGTAATGTCGCAAATGCTTATTTAAGGTCACCCACGAAGACGACACAGATATTGACTACTACTTATAAAATAAGGAATGTTTTGATATAAGTTTAAAACAAGTAATATTAATATGAATTGTCTTATCACATTAGAGTTTTCATTAGAGTTACAACAAAGTTCAAACATTTTTATGATCCATAATCTGAGCTTCAAGTTCTCTCAGTATACTTCCGCTGTATTGGATTTTTTACACTCCATTAAAATGTATTGTTTTCAGTCTGGATAATGTTTTGGTGTATAACTTATCTGACGGAATTCGATGATATTTGGCAGGTGGGTCGGTTAGGTATAGAAAATCGTATTGGTTGATTTTGGTGATTGACGTTGGTACTGCAGTAAGAAATTTTTTTTGGAGATCGTTGGCGCTGAATAGTCTATGGGTGTGATGTTATACGAGGAGCATATAGTTGTTGCCCCCTAGCTGTTTGCTTTGGACCTGCACCGTTATTTGATTTTTGGTTGTTTGGACGTAATGATAATCTCAAGAACCGCTGGATAGATTGCGACAATCTTTGATACGTGCCTTTGCGTTTTAACGCATGTACATTACCAGGTTGTTGTAGGTCTAGAATGTAATTTGGAAAAAAAGTTTATTTCACACCCACTATTTATATAATAGAGTGTTGTTCTGGCAGGTCATTAACCTTAATATAAGTCTATTCATAGGCATGTGGAGCCTACAGGCAATGTATGTTATCTCTTAAAGTAAGCAGACTATGGGAATGAGCATCGCATAGAAACACCAGACAGCAGTACGCCGCTTGGGTCATCATTAGCACGGAATGGGGTCAGATAGGTGGCATATGTAGATAAGAACACCTCCTAACACAATGTGCTCCATACCCCTTTCTTCCATCAAAACAACAATATGCCACAACAAAATCATTAATATTCAAGATAGATTGTATCATTATGGTAAAACTTACTCAAAATACCTTTATCAACATAAGGGACAAAAATACACAAAAAGAAAACAAAACCACGAACGATTTTATTAAGGGAGGATGTCCACGGCTTTCTCTTTTTCGGGTCTTTTTTTGTAATGTTGGTCGAAATGTACATTATGAAGGTGAAGTTGTTTAATCGGTTTCAGCTACACGTTATCCCGGATAACTTGTTACAAAGAGTCAGACGTTACTGATACTGACCCAATTGCAATGACATCACCTGTACACAGGGATCCCAACATCTACATCCCAGTCCACCACTACTGCTTGATGACAATAGTCTACATGTACATACGATTTACTGTTTACACACACTACTGTAAAACTAAAAGTATGTTTTGTTGATTGAGTTATTACCCTCCATGTAAATGGGGGGTATTGTTTTTACTCCGTTTCATGTTTGGTCTGATATCTGAAGATCGGTGAGAAGGAACTGTATGATATTTGGCAGATTGATGGATGGGGCCTTGGAGATTGTGTAGTTGACTTTGAGCACCTGGTGATTGACCTTGGTACTGCAGTTTAATTTTTTATTCTATTGTTGGCCTGTGTGTGCGATGCTAAGGTAGCATGTAGTTGTGGTTACAATGGTTTACTGATGTAAATTTGGGCCCCCTAGCTGTTTGCTTTGAACCGGAATTGCTATCTCAATGTCAGATTGTTTGCGTTGAATGATCTCAGAACCCGGTGGATGGTTGGCGATCATTTTTGGTATGTGGGTAGACGCTGATTGTCTTTGCGTTTTAGCGTGCATTAGCAGGTTGTCGTAGATTTGCATTGCTTATTTAAAAGGATTTTCACATTTTCACCCCTATTTCATAATAGGATGGTCTGTTTGACCCCAAATTGGTACAGAGTGTTTTTGTTTATACCTCCAGCTGGCAGGTCAGGCCAATCTATTTTTACCTCTAGACCATGTCTGCAGGAAATATATCTTATCTTTAATCGGTCA